AATGAAGCCATTGACTGATGTGGTAAACTCCTCAATGTTATCGGATGAATCCCGGAACATATTCCAGTCTGTGTTAGCGAAACAGTCCTGTAGCTTAGTATCCGCTACATCGGACCACTTCCGTATTGAGTGCGTGTCGTGGAATATTCTAATCAAATGAGAGAGACTTTGTCATTTTTTCAACAATCATCTTTATTCAATATCGATTTAATTATTGCAATAATGAGACTGGTCGACACTCTTGACTGTTGGGCCGAGAAACTTTACAGAAAATGCTGGTTCTTATATAGCTGACACTAAAAATGCTTAGTCATGGCTGGTTCCACCCCTCCCATGCAGATCGGGTGCCATCATAAGCCACCTTGGGTTCATCCTATGGTTATCTGCACCTGGTGTTGTTTTAACCCCCAGCCCGGCTTAGTTTCCCAAATACAAGGATGAACAGAAACAATTAGGGTTTTGTTCTACTCCTCCAGGTTATCTTTATCTCGGTTACACCCACCACATCTTGTCTATGGAATGCATGCTGTAGATCAATTGTCAGCGCAAGCTATCTCTAGTGACCATACGCCCAGATTAGCTGCAGGGAGCCAGAGTGGAGACCATAAAAACACAGCATTAGTAGAACAGAAGCTGTCATCAAGGCAAAGGGTGGCTATTTGAAGAATCTCAAATATAAAATATATTTTGATTTGTTTAACACTTTATTGGTTACTGCATGATTGCATAGGTGTTATTTCATAGTTTCGGTGTCTTCACTATTATTCTACAATGTAAAAAACAGTAAAAAATAAAGAAAAACCCTTGAATGAGTAGGTTTGTCCAAACTTTTGACTGGTACTGTAAATGAAAACTCTTGGTAAATAGTATGGTCTGCAGCTTATCATGAGGTATTCTAACTCAGGTGTGCAAAACCTTGAGACTTCCTTAACATTAGACATCGCGCACCAGCTGTTGTTAACAAAGAGACACACACCTCCCCCCTTAACCTTACCCGAAGCTGCCGTTCGCTCTTGACAATGCATAAAAAAGCTAGATGTATATTATCCATGTACTTGTTCTTCAGGTCCTGTTGATAGGATAGTGATTGTACGTTCACCAATAGAACAGAAGGTTTATTTACTCACCGGCGTAGTGTCATCAGGGAGCCCACTCGTTTGCCTCTCTTACACCGTCTCTTCCTCTTCCGAGTCCCGGGGATTAGTGTCACGGTCGTCGGGAAGAGAGGACCAATGCGCAGCGTGGAATGTGAACATACTTATTTATTTGAATGATCACACGAACAAAACAACAAACGATAACGTGACGTCCTTGGTTACACTACACAAAACCAATACGGAACAAGAAACCACACCAAACGAATGCCTAACGGCTACCTAAGTATGGCTCCCAATCAGAGACAACGAGCTACAGCCGTCTCTGATTGGGAGCCACCCTGGCCAACATAGAAATGCAAAAACTAGACCCACAACACAAAACATAGAAACTAACACCCTGGCTCAACATACGAGAGTCCCCAGAGCCAGGGCGTGACAGTACCCCCCCCCAAAGGCGCGGAATCCGACCGCGCCAACCAAACACAACAGGGGAGGGACCGGGTGGGCACTCCGCCTCGGCGGCGGATCCGGATCCGAGCATGAACCCCACTCCCTCTCTAACCCCCCAAAGCGCCCCTGGTCCAGTCCGGCCCCGCTGGCCGGAGCTGGACTGAACACTGGTGGAGCGGATTGCTCTAGCTCCGGAGTGGAGCAGCTGACCGGTGCCGGACCAGGCACCGGTGGAACAGGCACGGGCTGTGCCGGACTGACGACGCGCACCACAGGCTTGGTGCGGGGAGCAGGGACGGGCCGGACCGGGCTGACGACGCGCACCACTGGCCTGGTGCGGGGAGCAGGGACGGGCCGAACCGGGCTGGCGACGCGCACCACTGGCCTGGCGCGGGGAGCAGGAACAGGCCGGGCCGGGCTGGTGACGCGCACCATTGGCTTGGTGCGGGGAGCAGGAACAGGCCGGGCCGGGCTGGCGACGCGCACCATTGGCTTGGTGCGGAGAGCAAGAACAGGCCGGGCCGGGCTGGCGACGCGCACCATAGGCTTGGTGCGGGGAGCAGGGACGGGCCGAACCGGGCTGGCGACGCGCACCATTGGCTTGGTGCGGAGAGCAAGAACAGGCCGGGCCGGGCTGGCGACGCGCACCATAGGCTTGGTGCGGGGAGCAGGAACAGGCCGGGCCGGGCTGGCGACGCGCACCATTGGCTTGGTGCGGGGAGCAGGAACAGGCCGGACCGTACTGGGGACACACACCACTGGCCCTACGCGGGGATCAGGAACGGGCCGGACCGGACTGGTAACACACCCCAGTACCTCTCGCCGTGCCTCTACACTCTCCTTCCCCTTGGTGACCAGTGGCCCCCGTAACCTGGCGGCCTCCTCTGCTAACCCGCTGAACCACTCTATCCCGTACTCCTGCTGCCCCGTCGTCCACGGCGTGAGCCCCCCCCCCTAAACATTTTCTGGGCTTGTCTCTCCCCCGTGGACCAGGCCTCCATGGTTCTCGCCCAACTCTCACTCCACTGCTCCAAAGTCCAGCCTCTCTCCTCCTCCCGCGGCTTGACCCAGTCGAGGTTGATATCCTTTAGATTCACCTCTGGCGTTGGCTCCTGGACACGCTGCTTGGTCCAGATATGGTGGTTTCTTCTGTCACGGTCGTCGGGAAGAGAGGACCAATGTGCAGCGTGGAATGTGAACATACTTATTTATTTGAATGATCACACGAACAAAACAACAAACGATAACGTGACGTCCTTGGTTACACTACACAAAACCAATATGGAACAAGAAACCACACCAAACGAATGGCTAACGGCTACCTAAGTATGGCTCCCAATCAGAGACAACGAGCTACAGCCGTCTCTGATTGGGAGCCACCCTGGCCAACATAGAAATGCAAAAAACTAGACCCACAACACAAAACATAGAAACTAACACCCTGGCTCAACATACGAGAGTCCCCAGAGCCAGGGCGTGACAATTAGGGCCTGGTCCGGAATGAGCAGTACATCCACAGCTGCTGACTCGTTGAAGTAGAAATCGTCATCCTAATCAAGGTTAATGATCGCTGTTCTTATGTCCAGAAGCTGTTTTCGGTCATAGGAATGAAAATTGTGGCTATATATATATTTTAAAAAATAAATACAAATTTAGTCATTTAGCAGACGCTCTTATCCAGACTTGTCACCCATCAAGGTTTGAATATGACATTTATTTTTTAATAGCCGACAATATAAAATATTTCATTCTGAATAATTGATTATATTATTCAGAATGCAGGTGTCAGCTGTTCATTGCACTCTTTTCATAACTGCTGCTACTTGTGCATGTACTCTGCTCCTTCAGTGCATGCACTCAGACGTGTGACCACAAGCAATATGCATGCCATGTCTATGTCCTAATGAAAACTGTTATGAAACTGTATATTCAACTGTTGTGAATATATATAATTCCTAAACCATTTGGAAGATGTACTGTATAGAATAGAGTAGTCTGAATGTTTTCCAAATGTATTTTTGCCCTTTTGGTAACTCTAGTATAAAGGTTGGCTTTGAGGTCAACGTGTCATATGCAGTAAGGGAAACTATAGGATTCATTTTAAATAAGCTACTGTAACTGAATTTGTAACTGAAACTGAAAATTATATGCGGCTACTAGCCAATAAATTGATTAGAGGATGTGTGAGTAGTATACAGTACTAATGCCGATCATAGGCACTTATGAGTTCATTCCAAATTCAGGGTCAATTTGTGCGCAGCTGGCTAAAGAGTCAAACTAGTCCATCACAGCTGTGATAATAAAGATATTTCTAGTATAATGTATTTAATGTATTTATTTGCTTTTCTGTTTGAACAAATCATTAATATTCACAACCCACAACAACACCACTCACATGAAGAATATGGGGAGATATGATAATCTGCCATAGCCGAGCACAAAGACACCTCAAACAGAGGTTACAACTACTTTTGTTTCACTAAATTCCTCAATGGGTTTTACTATGTTGACATATTGATGTGATTTATGTTAAATCTAGTCCAGCATTGACCAGTGTGTTAGTGATTGATTTCTTGGATCCGACAAGTCAAACAATGTATTTTATTGCACTATAAAGCCAATGACATAGAGATAAAGCTGAGGCCTCTCCACAATGTGACAGATGCAGAGGCAGCTGTAGTAAAGGGATACTTGATATTGCCATTGCATTGTCTCTGTGCATTATGCTACTACTCTCTGAGCCTATTTGGAAAATCAGCCTCTCCCTCTGTCTCATCCCTACTCTTTACTCTGAGCCATTTGAAAGTGGAAACTTTGGGCTCTGAACGAGATCATGCCTCCTAGCTGTTGTCTATATGACTGGCTCTGGAACAAAGAGTAATGGGTTAAAATAGAAGTCTCATGTGATGCGAAGTCCCTCCATTGAATCCCCTGTATTATATGGCAAATCTGATTTAATTATTCCCAGGTATTTGCTGTGGATTTAGGAGCATGGCCAGGTCTTTCTAGACTCTTTAGGACCTGCTACTTGTCCTCTGTGGGATCTGTCCACAGCCAGATCTCCCCTCCACTCATTGGGTTGTTTTATTTAGAAAAAAATGAAGTGATAGATGTGAAAAATAGACTGTGACTACCTCATATTGATGATTTGGCCGCCAAAGTGTGGCATGGAAAGCATTTTTGTTTTCCTTCTCACTGGTACCTGTGTGAAATTGGATGATTGTAAGTGTAAGATTATAATGGAATAATATTGTCCAAGTCAGTCAGTGTGTTATACTGGTTGCACATTTCCTTCAATATAAATATTTTGCAGGTTTAATGTAGTTTTTAGGATATCAATGCCTCAGTAGTCGATGCTCAGTCACTACACTTGCCTCTAACTGGAGCTTCTCCCCCTTGTTTCTTCATCCCTTTCTAATGCAGGAGGCTAGCTGTTCACTCTGAAAGTGCAGGATGGCCCAGCTGCTTGTACCGCCAGGACCAGACAGCTTCCGCCCGTTTTGTCGTGAGTCCCTCGATGCCATCGAGAGACGGATCGCTGACGAGAACGCCAAGAAGCCCAAGGCAAAGCGCAACGACGATGACGACGACGGGCCCAAGCCCAGCAGTGACCTGGAGGCGGGCAAATCATTGCCACTCATATACGGGGACATTCCCAAAGGATTGGTGTCCACACCACTGGAAGACCTGGACACCTTCTACAGCAAACCAGAAAGTGAGTTGGATTGGTCATCCCAAAGAGCTGGGCTTTGAAACCAAGCAGAGATGTTTGGATGAGTTGTGAAAGGTTAAGGCAGTCTTGTAAAGCAAAGGCTTGCATTAATGTATAACACATAGTTGTCTGTTGCGTTGCATAATAGATACAGTATTGTGTTTGGATACAGTAGCCCTCAATTCTGGATCCATGTCCTATTTTGAGCAGAGAGTTTATGTTTATGCATACTAGTAGTGTCTATCCAGTCATGTGTATGCTGTGCAGTGAGAGATCTCTATGTGTCAGGCACTGTGATTACCCAGAGTTTGCAGTAGCACCGGCTTTCTCTGTTGTCAGATCCAAGTTCAGTTGTTATTGTGTAGGACAAGTGATGAAGCACGCTGTCATCCATCCAGAGCCTTTGTATCCAAGGTGACAGAAAAGCTATGATTGATAGGGCTCCCCGTCTGACCATTTTAGGGGAGACATATCACGACACCACAGAGTATCACTGAGCTCTACAATGTGTGCTATAGCAACAACAGAAGTTGGTGTTGTGTTGTTGTCCTTTGTTTAATGAATCATTTCCATCACTCCTAAGTGACCAGGAATATGTGTTGACAGTCTTCTCCTCTCTCTCTCTCTCTCTCTCTCTCTCTCTCTCACAGACCTTTATAGTATTGAACCGAGGGAAGGCCATCTTCCGCTTCAATGCCACTCCTGCCTTGTATGTCTTAAGCCCCTTCAACCCTCTTAGAAGAATATCAATTAAGGTTTTGGTACACTCATATCCTTTGATAAAAAAAAGATTAACCGCATTGAATATTTTTGAGGTCAAATTAAATATTGGGTCCTAATACTATGTCTGTATTGTACAGATAATTATTGCAACTTTATACAATGGGTGGGTCTAATCCTGAATTGCTGATTGGTTAAAACCGCATTCCAGCCGGTGTCTATTCCACAAGTTACCATCAGCTAAATCTATTATGTTAAAATGGCTGTTTGACTCTTTTCCATTTGGACTGCGCAATCACTTGTCTTCTTCAACACCCAGCCAAGTAATGGTATAAACCTTGATCTCCACTATTAAAAGCATCTAGACATTATCTCACATTTCTTTTAGACTAACATTTTGTTTTCAACAGCAGAGATTTGTATTAACCTTGCTTCTATCTCTTCAAACATTTCCAACATTGTTTCAATATTCAAATTCCATCTCCAGCTGTCCCATAGTAATGAGCGTGTCGGGAGTCGGGGCGAGACAGACAGGCAGGCAGCGTTTCTCAACCAGTCGAAATCATGGATCAGCTGGCATCATTTTTGTGGATATATACAAAGAAATGTCAATTGAAAAACGGTACAACGAAACGAAGTGCAGCTAGTTTGCGGTCTTTCCAGCTTCAGTTTGTGTCACGGTTCAGACAGACGACCAGAGGACCACAATTGCGTCACACCAGAAAGTTTATTAAAACTTAAGGAAAAGGGAAGTAGGGAGTGAATGAAGGCTCCAGGGGTAACAGGGATCCCGTCCAATGTGCTGGGTCTGTGCCCCCCCAGTGGCAGCGATGCGTCCTATGAAGCCGGTGGTGGGTGGTCCAGAAGTCCTGGGGGGGGGAGACACGACACAACAGGGCGGAATGAAACAAGGGCAGCAGTACGTTCAAGGGAAATCCAAAATACGTAGTAGCAAGGCAGAAGGCTGGTCAGAGTTACCGGGATTGAAGAGTAGTCAGGAGTCGTTATGGCAGAAGCAGGTCTGGATCTCCTGGGGCAGAAGAGTATCCAAAAATCAGGCAGGTCCGGGGTCACAAAACCAGGGTGAGCCAGAAGCGCGAGCAAACAGGTTCCGGGTGTGAGCTTTGCAGACGATCTGACACCGGAGAGCTGAAAGACAGGGCCTTAAATACTGGGAGAGGTAGTGGGTAATGCAGCGCAGCTGGCAGAGTAATTAGAGCAGAGCAGAGCAGGGACAGGTGGAGCTAGTTAGGCTGAGTAGAGAGAGTAGTGAGCAGAGTGGAAGAAATTTAAGGTGGTAACCCGGTGGAGTGAGAGGCTCATGACAGTTTGAAGTGATTGTGTTAGCTGTGTTGTTGGTTAGGTCATCTGAACAACAGTGTCCTGACAAGTGAACACATTTTCTATGCCAGGCGAAATCGCGCCTCATTAGCTCATTGTTATGGATGTATCCAAATAAATCTCTCCAGAAAACAACTTAAACAAATGCAAATGCAGCTACTTTGCTGTTATTCTGGCTGCACTTTTTGACGTGACTGTAAGTTAGTGTCACGCGACGTGTATGCGGTCAGCGAAGTCAAACGCAGGACACAGAGCGGCTGGCAACGTACTTTACTGAACACAGTAAAACGTACAAAACAACAAACCTCCAAACAGGGAGGAAAACACAAATACTCGTAACACAAAGCAACTGCCGAAATGACAACGAACAATCACACACAAAATAACCAATGAGAGACAGGGGGTAATATAGGGAATACAATCCAACATAATGGGAAACAGGTGTAAACAATAAAGACCAAACAAGACAAACACCGAAACATCGATCGGCAGCAGTAGTACTCGGAACGACGAACGCGAAGCTGCCGGCGGAGGCACCCGATCCTGGACGCGCAGGCA